TATATATATATATATATTAACAGTTCAAGTGGTATACATTAATAAATACTTGTTTAGACAATTAGTAGTTCGATTATTTATTTAATTTTTAATTTAGTACTATATACATGTAACAATGTGAATATACATTACTAGTGCATTATAATAGTTTTTTAACATATTATTTACTATATTTATTGTTATTTTAAACTTAGCATGAATAATTATATGTTATTAATTATTATTTATTTATGGTATAAAAGTATACTATTAATGTACATAAGTTAAACTCCTCATGTTCAACATATATATTTATAGACGTACCTCATATTTAAGAAATTTGACATTGTAAATTAACTTTCCTAGTACACCTCTCACACCATCTCCACTCCAGCATCTCGTCGACCCCCTTTTCTCCATTCTCGAGAAAAAAGAAAAAAGAAAACCCAAACCCACTCTTTTACTTTCGACTCTCTTTCTCCTTCTCATTCGCCCTTCTTTCTTCGGACAACAAGTACAAAACTCCTCTAATCCCATCTTCCAATTTTGGCCCTTTCTGCCCCTCTCCCAATTTACGTTACAAAAACACACTGTTTTCTTCTTCGATTCCCAAAATCCAGTCGGTGGTCTAAAACCCCATCACCCCCATTTTTTTCTCATATAAAACACACACACACACACACACACACACACACGCATATAATGCTTGTTGATGTCTTTGAAAAATTTCACTCCAAACAAATTTATTTGTACCTGTTCTTCAAAAAATGGATGTGAATAGCAGGGCTTTGCCGTTTCACATCGATCTTAACGAAGCTCCTCTTCCTTCACCTAGGGAAACCGAAAGAGGCCCCTTCTTGGAATATCCTGAACCGGCCCGGGTCAAGAAGGAATCGGTTGAACCGGGTCAAAGAAATGTTGTTCGGGTTTGTTCTTCATGTGAGTTGGGTTCTAGTCGTAGAAGTAGTAGGGACGACCACCAAGAGGAGGAGTGGAAATGCTTTAAGTGTTTGCTAGGTAACAGCAGCGGCGGCGGTGGAGAAAGAGTGAGAGATGGCGGCGGCAGTAGAGGAGGAGGTGGCAGCGGAGTGGGGCTGTTGGATATTAATGCTTCGCCTCCGCGGGAACCGGAGGGGGAACGGGAACGTGTGTTTGTGGACTTAAATGAAGATTTGGTTGTTGCAGGACGAGAAGTGGAGGAGCAAAACCATGGGGCCAAGTATGAATTTTACTTCTTTATTTATCCTTTCTTTTCCGTTTAAAAACGCAAATTACGGGTTTATTTTAGCAATGCATGTTGTATATATACATGAAAGGTTCAAACTTTGTGATTTTGACTTGTGTATCTTGATGTTAGACTGTGATTTTTCTTGTATTTGATTGATACGTTCTTTAGTTCTAAATCTTTGTTAGGTTTCTTAATAGAATAATTGCATACTGTGTGGTGCATTGATAAATAGTGGAGTATTCTTCTTTTTTAAACGATGGTGGTGTTCGGGCCAGCTTGTGTGCACCTCGCCTATTCTATCTGGGGAGAAATCACTTATGGGATTTGATAGTGCAGGAGTAGTCTTTGGACATCCATTCTACGAGCTTCTAAAGGAATTCACTGAAACTGAAATTTGTAATTGAAGTGTGGATCGACGGTTCAATGACTTGAAAGTCTTTACTTTCTGTTGATTCTTCTATATTTTTAACTGGAATTTTAGAAAGTATGAACAAGGCAAAGATTTATATTAAGATCTAATGACCACATTAGAATTCAAACTCTTTTTGGTTCCAAAAGTTAAGTTCTTGTAGCTTTCTTAGCTAGGTTTTCATTGGTTTGTCTTATGAGTCTTATAGAAACAGGGAATAAGATTCCTCTTGATGATTCCCTGTCGATGTCCCTACTATATGTTTTTTTTTGTTGATAAAAAGTCCCTACCATATGTAAATTGTCATATGTTTTAATTATTCGAGGGTGTCACCTTGACCAAAAAACATGAAGAGGGAAACCAATTACTTGACTGCCAATGTATTGACTTCTTCCGTACTAAATGCAAGATATATGCCTATCGGAGCTTTGATATCAGACCAATTCACTGTGCCTTCAACTTAAGTTAGAAGATCCCTGATGGTGCCTCACATTTTTTAGACACCATCGTAGTCCCTTCGTCCTATTTTGTATAGTGTTATTTGACTGAATTAGGAGTTTAAGATGTTAATTTGGCTTAATATTATATATTAGTGGTAGCGGAGTAAAATATGAAAGCATTGTTGGAAAGTTGGTTTGATAAAGTAAAAATTATATCTAAGTTTTAAATTTCAGTATTTACATGAATCTGAATTGTTGATAATTATGGAACTTTTATAGAGTGATATTATTAATAGAATGGTGCAAATGTTTTGGGACGTCTAGAATGGAGCCGTGGAAATTTGGATATTTAGTCCCAAAATGTATTTTTTCTTTTCTCTCTCGCTTCCTAACTATTTAAGGGTCTCCCTACCTACATGTATGAGGTATCTTTCAGGTACTTGCAAAGGTAGTCAGAAAGCTAGATAAAAACAAGAGAAATTTCTTTTGGATGACAATGTTATTAAATGTCATCGCCTCATGATGCAAAGCGAGGGGTTATCGCTGTATTGGGGAAGCCATGCGCTTTAGAAATGTGTGCGCTTCAAACAACGTGGTGCAAAGTGATCCTGACATGAATCCTTATGAAAAAAGTGATCATGTCGTGAAGCAGTCTAGTCCTTGATTCTCAACTTTGAGGAGTTGGGATTAACATCAATGCTATTTTATATTAGATGCTAACCAGAGTTATTTTAGTTGCACTTTTATCATTATATTGCTAAATTCATGTGTTTGGTAGTTTTTAATTTTCCGTAGCTTGTGTATTTCACTTTAACGAAACGTGCGCTTCGTTTCTCACTTTTCGCTTTCAGCTTGATAGACCTTGTCTCTTCTTTGCGTTAAACTTTTAAAATCAATTGTTGGATGGTAATAACGAAAGAAATCATACCACTTGGAAGAATGAGATATAGTAGTGTTAAGCACGAAGGACGATGAGGAACGTGGAACTTCTTTTTGGGATAAGTAATCGAGGATTTCAAACTTGACCCCGAAAGCTTGCTTATTAAATGGTTATGGAGGTACAACAGAGAGGAAGAGATGATTTGTGAAGAAGTTAATTAATTAAAGTATGGTGAATAAGTCCTTGTTGTACCAGAAAGTTAATACTTCCTATTTACCCTTAATGGCATGCTTTTATAGCCACAAAAATCTCATGGTCTGTTTTACACCACGAGTTCCAAACATCTTTCTCTGTGCTAACTTCTAAGTCAAAACCGTCCATAAAATGCGACAGAGGGAGTAGCTCACATGGGGTAGGGATCAGGGAACGTATTAGAAATATATGACATGTATTTTTTCATTATCGTGCATTTTGATGTTGTGGATGGAAGGACAGTTAAGTTGGTGGCATAATTCCTGGCTAGGCCATACCTCCTACAGAGCAAGTTATTAGGTTTACTTTGAACATCATGGAGGCGACCACTGCTCAGTGTAGTTCAGAAATGGGTGGGACTGGGTGGGACTAATATTTTAGAAGGAATTGATTGTTTGTTTGACTGGGAAATTGAGATGCTGGCCTCTTTGAATTCAGAAGTTAGTTCAGGTGGATTTTGTCGATGAATCATTGTCATAGATCGCACATTGTACTGGCGGATTCTCAGTGCAGTCATGCTATAGAAAATCTAGATTGGGGAACCGGCGATGTCCGACAATGGCCTTAGAAAATGATTTGGTGAGCCAAAGCTTGAGAAGGTTGCATGTTTTTGTTGGGTGTTGGCTCTTATGCATGTCTTACTCAAAACAATGCAGAAAAGGTGAATGTAGATGTAGATCTGTAGAAGATGCTTTTTCTGTGCAGAAGAAATTGAGAAAAATAGCAAGCACCTTTTTTTGCATTGTCCTAGACAATTGTGGAACAATATCAAATATGTTTTGGGCTGCGATGGGTAATGCGCCAATGACTATGCAGGAATATTTTTGCTGCCTGTATAGGATGTAGAAAATAACTGAGGAAATTATGAGAACAGTCCCTGGTTCTGTGTGCTAGCTGGCATGGATGGGAGGAACCATAGAGAGTTGTTGCATGTAAGCAATAGACCATGAAGGTCAAGATATAAGATTTCATATATTGTCAAAGGGAAGAAAGAACATGAGATCTATATTTTGTTCCAAGTATAGATTAGTAATTTAGCAACTAACCATGAAGGTCAAGGTAGAAGATTTTACACATTGTCTAAGGGAAAAAACCTATTAGATCTATATTATGTTTCAAGTATGGATTAGTAGTTTAGCATCTGGGGTGCAACATAGTGATCTATGATGTTGGAATGAAGACTACGGAAGACCAGGGTTCAAAACTAAAACTAACATGATTTCCCCCCCATTGTCTAAGGATTAAAGGGTAGGGTTACTTGATTCCTACACGGGCTGTACTTGTGGGAGGATGTCGGTACCCGGTTGAATAGTCGTGGTGGCATAGGCTGGCCCAAACCTCACAGTGGTTAAAAAAGTATGGTTAGTAGTTTAATCTATTCGTTGACTACTTATCCAAGATAAATTTAGTCTATGTGTTCTCTATTTATAAGAGGTAAATATATTTGTATCTATCACCCCAAAAAGATGAAAAATGAAAAAAGAAAAGAAAAGAAAAGAGGTCTCCTATTTGTCACATGAAAATTATTATTTGTTAGCTTTTGGTTCAACTCATATTGATCAAAATAAAAATGATTCATTAGTTTGGACAGCCAGCAAAGAACACGATTCATTAGTTTGGACAGCCAGCAAAGCTAGGAAATTCTTAGCCAATAATTATTACAACCTGTTAATGAAGAGAACAAATCATTAGGAAACAGATTGGCCTTGGAAAGTGATTTGGAGAAACAAAGCTGCTATTAAAGTTGCATATTTTGGATGGACTGCTGCTTGAGAAGCTTGCCTCAAACGCAGTCTTCAGAGGAGATGTTTTTCACTGTGTAATAGGTGCTATCTGTGTGAGGAAGAGATGGAGACTGTGAACCACCTTCTATTGCACTGCAGTTTTGCTAGACAGTGTTGGGAATTATTCTTCCGTATATGTGGGATCTCATAGATCATGCCTCAAAGTGTTAAGGCTTTATTGTAGTGTTAGCAACAGCAAAGAACACAAAGCATTGAAGCAGATTTAGAGAACCATTCCCTTGTGTATCTTCTGGACTATCTGGCTAGACAGGAATAGAGCTTGTTTTGATGGGCAGAGAGATTAGATTGTTAGAGTTAAAAGAAAATGCTTGCATAATTTGTTTCTTTGGTGTAGTAGTCTAATTGATAATATTGATCACTACCTGGACTTTCTGGAGCAGTTAGAAAAATGTTGTAACTAACTGCATGGATATTCCCAGTGGTGTTTTGTTACTTTTTGGTACCATCTTGGTACTAAAATAATGAACCTTTACCTTATCAAAAAAGAAGTTATTTGTTAGCTTTTGGTAGCATCTCAAAATATTCTTATTTGGATAAATATGGAGTGGCTCATCTCGGATGACTTTTTTTGTTTACTTCTAGGACCTATCCTTGACCATGTTTGCTTTGGTACTTTAGTGAAGGTGATTCTGGTCGTTCTTCTTCTGGATAGGTGATTCTGGTAGTTCTTCTTATGGACAGGTTTTCTTTGTCCATTCTTGTTGCTGCTTCGAGCAAGAAGGTCATGCCTTCAATGGAGAAAAACGACCTTAACTGCGTCTTTGAGCTTTATCTTTGATCATATATTGATGATCTGGATATCTTTATTAGCCTTCAGGACTATACAAAGTTGTTGGGTTGTCTAGATACCTTCCGTTCACTTGGTAGTAATTTGAATTATCTCAATTTCACTCAATGGGAATCTCCATCTTCCATTTACATGAAAATTCCTACTGTATCTTCTCCTCTTATTCCTATTCCTTTTTTGTTAATTAACTTTATTTGGTCGAGAATTAAAAATCTAAGATGATGGATGATATTGTCCCTTTTTCATTGATGTCTGAAAAATCATATGGATAATATTTTAGCTTCGGATTGTTGATCATTTGATCCATTTGCAACTAGTTATTTTTATCTTCAGCCATGAAAGCCAAAATGTAAGTAAGCTTCGCAAGTAATTAAGCTTGGATTCAGGAAAAGCATCTTTTATTTAAAGATTCTGGCCATGCGTACACACTAACCTCCCCAGACCCACACGTATGGGATTAAGCTGGGTTTTTTGTTGTTGTATTCTGGACATGGTAGCACAAAAGTTCCATTCCCTTATTTACTAGAGAGAATTCCATTTGCTTAGGCTTAGTTACATTTCTTCTTTGGAGGAGATTGTTTTGGATGGGCGCTCTTTTTCTCATCCATGAATTTGTCCACTAAGCAAGTTATTTATTAGAAGTATCGTAGGTGCCTTGGGAACTGGAAAAAGATAAAAGGAGAGAAATGAGAATAGCTGGTTTCTTTATTTCCCATGTGAAACTACTACATTTGCGTCCGGTGTAAACCAATTGCCCATTGTTTCTGGAGTGGTTCAACTACACACCTTTTCTGCACATATGGTTTATCTCAAAGAGGTTGTATTTTTTCGGTTTATTGGTATTGGAATGCTGGAAACATCTTTCACTGGAAGTGGTCCGATAATATTATATGCCACTACATAGCTTGGTTCTCTTTGCGCGCACAATTCAGCTATGGAATAATTTCGTGAGGAGAAACTTCGAGAAGAGAAATGAAGTTTATAATCTACCTCTGCGCCTGCTTAATTGATCTTATCACTAGTTAAATAGGGTTAAATCATCCAAAATTTGAATCACTAGTAGACCATCAACACAGAGACACAATATATTCTACGGATCTTTTATCAGTACATGGACAATTATATAGTTTAACGGGCTTTCCAGCTTTGATCGTTGCAGAGAGTGTTGCAAAGGTGAAGTTACTGCCCTTCATTTTCAAACAAAAAGGTGAAGTTACTGCCCTAGGCTGAGGATCCAGGAAATGCAAATTTTGGATGCGCATATTGATTATGGCTGGCTGATGAGAATCAACTGGCATATTGATTATGGCTGGCTGATGAGAATCAACTGGTTTAGGGTTGAGTTGAATAGGTTCATAATAGGGATGCAAATTAAAAGGAAATAAGCTACTTCAATTTTCTTTTAAGATAGGTTAGCAACATGTATATACTCCCTACATTCTTAACATCCATTCCTTTTTTGTGCTGTCCAAAATTTTGTCCACCTTTTAAAAGATAAAACTTTTCTTTTGACACTCATCAATGCTTGCTCGAAACTCATGGAAAAAATGGTATCTCCTTTTATACTATAGGACATGCATGTATCAAAAGTATCTTTGTCTCCACTTTTAATTCATTTCTATTTAAATCTAATAAATGATGTTATTACCTAACGCCGAGATTAAGGGAATAGCAAATTGGATCGATTTGAACATATAAATGTCTTGATTTTATGAAGGGGCTGCAATATTTTCTCTTCCTAATTCTGTTTTTCTTATAGGTCACAGAAATACATTAATGAGACACCATCGTGGTGTCCAGCCCATTTACTAAGTTATACAATGGGGTTGCAAAAGAAAGGCAGCGCCTTGCCGCCTTTTTTTTTTTTTTTTTTTTTTTTTTTTTTTTTTTTTTTTTTTTTTTCCCTAAGAAAAAGAATTCTTTCTTTCCCATCTCCTTTGCAAAATAGCAATGAACTTACTCTGACTAATATAGACGAGGGAGCAATCATGCATTTGAGCATCTTGCAAATCATAATGCAGATCTTATAGATTTATCTACTTATTCTGCTTGACATAACATTTAGTTGTGAAATAACTGTGTTAGCTTATTTCTTTAAATCTAGTGTTCTGTAAAATGAAAGTTATGCTTACAAATCCTTTAGCAGTAATTTATTTTAATCTCAATGTGTTCGGTATAATACGGCTATATATGTAATATTCCTTGACGGTTTTCAACAAGGTTTGAGGGTGTTATTCTTTCGTTATGATTGTGTACAAGCTGTTATACAGAAATTTGACTCATTCTGCTGTTGTCTTCTTTGCTATTTTGCCATAAATCATATTAACTCTTGCTGTATAAGGTATTCTATTTATTGTCATTGTGCAATGCTAATGATTGAACCATGCGAACTTTATTGTTGGTGGTTCAAATTCTTAAGGCAAAGTCACATTTCACCTAGGACAGATTGGACTCTGCTACAACCCTTTCAAAGACAACTTTGCTTATGAAAAATTGTTGATCAAAAAGAATTTGCTCATGAAAGAATGGATATAAAACATTTGTGTAGCCGATTAAGAAAAAGATATAAAACATTTCAGTAACATGAGACATAGAATCTGAGACTCATGCTCTATGCCATACTTATCAAGAAAACGAGCAAGCTGTGTTTCCAGGTTTGGTATTTTAAATCGTTGTCTTACCTTCTTTTTCTGGGGGTGGGGGGTTGGAATTTTTACAGACTTCAATATTTATCATTTTATCTATGTTTCAAAAATACGAAGTTGATGTCTAATATTTACTAAGTTATTCTGTTCTTTCTTTTCCTTTGCCTCGAAGGGTTAAAGGGCACCAGAATGAATCTATATACTTGAGCTTTATTTATTTCCATGTGTTCCTTTCGAGAGAAAAGTGAGCTCTAATGTTGAATGAGGACTAGGCGTATCCATGTGGCAATGAGGACAAAAGCATGCTTTTATCAGTGAATCTGTCCTATATAAAGTACATGGAGTTTTTACTTGTTTTGCTTGCTTGTTGGCTTAAGGCAATTGGCACATAAAAGTGCCTCTACTGAAACACGAGTAAAAGGAATTAACATTTTATTTCCTTTTTGAAGAAGAAAATTACTTGTATTGCTTGATTCCTTACACTTTCTTCCATTAAAAGCGGAACACAGACTTAGAAGTCCTATTAATTGGTAACTTACATTTATCAAAAACAGAAAAGGAAAAAAGAAAAAGAATAGTATATGGTAATAGTATATCTTACTATAAATGATATCGTTCTTGAAGGCTTTTCCTTAAATTTCTAACAGACAAGGTGCACAGTTGTGCTTTGGTTTAAGAAATTGTAGCTTAATCTGTTATACGTGGGTTGCTTAACTTATGCAGTTCCATATCTTTTAATTTCTTTCCATTTTTTGATAATCGAGAGTTCCCCGAGGACAAGTGGTGCACGTTTCGAAACTCGGTGCATAATGAGCCTGCCTTCTACTTCTCCACTTATATACTGGGCTTTTGTCTGCAACTCGGTTTGAACCCATAACGAGTGCCTAATCAACGCATCACTCGCTATGATCTTACCATAATGTCGCACCTAAGATTTGAACCTGGGACCCAGAGCAATTTTATAACTATTTTGTTTGTGCATACTGTAGGGTAAGCAAGCAGTAGATGCTATACCTTCTCTTGTACTCTTTTCTTTTATCTCCTCAATAGATTCTTTTGTCTTGCCTAGAGCTCATTGACATTCTCTCCCCTAGCATTTTTCTATTTGGTTGATTGAGTTACATTTGTGGAGAGCGATATCGTTCTATAGCTCCTTTAGTTATGTGTATAATCCCGTATGCAAGGTTTTTCCCTTTTTGTAAAATGGTAAGTTAATATACTTTTCAAATAAGCTTTTTGTGGCTGATTGCAAAAAACCTGTACTTTTCTTCAAAATTTAGTTCTTTAGGTAGTGAAAATTGTAATCTCTTCTTATTCTTACATGTGATTGAGTGGGTCATTACTACTTGGCTTTGAAATTGTTCGATGCTTTTAATTTTGATATGTATTTCTATGACCTTCAGATCAGAAACCTTTACGAAGTTATACCTTATATAGGTTGTACCTAAAGGTGTGGCTTAGGCGTCAATCAAGTGGGTTAAAACCATGAGACATCAGGGGTTTAAAGAGTCAAAAGTGCTGGGCAATTTCTTGCCATCTGCCTAAGCCCTAAGCATACTAGCTCGGACACCACTGTTATAAAACAAAGTTATACCTTATATAGGTAGTGGTGGAGTTGGTGAAAGTACGAGTCAATGACCAATATGCTTGCAGATTGATCTAGACTCATCCTTTGTACATGCACATAATGCACCTTTCTTCCATATGCATACCACCTTTATTATCATGTTTAATTGAAATTCTTTCTATTTGTTGGAGAGTAACTCTTTGTTATGGTATCAATTGAATTCCTTCTTCTGCTTTTGGATGTGCGAAAATAGTATTTACTTCCATTTGCTTATAGATGTAAAGTTTTTGTCAGATATTCTTTTTGGATGGTTTCAGTAATTTTGGAGAATTACTAAATGTGAGATTGATCTAATTAAAAGAACATGGAACAAAATAAAGGTTCCTCAGTATGTTATTGTACAATAATCCACGTCATTAACATTTCCCAGATTTGCTGTATGGAGGCACAAGCAGGTCCATTCTTTTATTCTTACTACCAAGAGGTTCAGTTGTGTTTTAGAGAATATTGATTTTTTCTGCACGGATATTTTTGGCAAACCATGAAGAAGTAAATGTCTTCCTTGACGCTACTCCTTCTGTCTTCTTTTTTTATTTATCATGTAAATGTACTCCTGTCTTCTTTCTCCAACTTTAATGACTTGGCTGCATAAAGTAACATTTAAATTCTGTTTGCATTAGTCTTCCTATCTTAAATCTAGTTGGATTGGTAATGTATTTGGATATTTAAGTGCGATTTTCTTTCATAATATCGAAATGCGGTAGAGCAGGTTTATCTAATGCTTTGAATTCAATTTTTTTTTCCTGGGCGTGCTGCTTTAGGAGTAACTGGGGCATTTTAATTGATATTATGAATATTGTTGGTGTTCACAGAGTTCAAGCTATGAAAAGTTCCTTTTCTACTGGCCATTCCTTCAATGCCCCAACAAGCTCTTTTTTGGTATATAGGGAGAATATATTTAATTTTCAGAAGACTTCTCTTACGGGGGATATTCATATGTCACAAATAGAGGACGCAGTACTCCATAGACCTCATTCTGACCACATAAACATAAGCATGACTGATCCAATATTGATGTATGATTCAAGGTATCGGGCATGTCATTTTACTGCAAAGAACTGTGTTCCACAAAGTGCGAGTCAAGTTTATCTTCAAGGCCTTAGAGAATATATTGCTGGGATGGGAGGTTCTTTAGGTGATGGTTGGCATGTGGAGTTTAAGTATTGCGACAAAAGATGCAAGACATATGCAGTATATGTTGGACCAGACGGAAGTCCCTTTGAGTTGCTTGATGATGTTGCTCGACATTTGGGGTTGGATCACTCCATGGAGGTTGAGAATGGAGGTAATGGATTTACTTTTGTTCATGAGGGATTATCAAATATCCCAAGGAGTAAAGAAGCTTCAGGTTCTGCTAAAGCTCGCAAGAGTGGACAGAGTCGAAGTTCTCCTGGGAGCAGCTTCTTCCGTAATGGTAGCTCTATCTTCAAGTGTATATATCCAAGTGTATGTTCATCCTATTACTTATTTGGTTTATACTGCCCTGCTAGTTTTTGTAATTCTAATCTCCTTATTGTTGGAAGAATCAGTTAGTTTGTTCTGTCTTAAGTACTTGGCAGTCTTACTGACTAACATTTGACTGTTCTTTCAGGATGTCTTTCCAGTTCAGTTTCAGGACTTCTTTCTTATTTCAGCTGGAAATATTGACCCCCGACCATCATATCACAGCACTAGCGAGATATGGCCTGTGGGTTACATATCTAGCTGGCACGATAGAATTACAGGATCTTTTTTTGTTTGTGAGGTTGCAGATGGAGGTGATCCTGGCCCAGTTTTCAAGGTCAGGAGGTACCCATGCACCCTGCAGTCTATCCCAATTGGTTCGACGGTCCTTTTAACATCTAAAGGGGATTCACATATTGGTGAAGATAATGTGGAAAATTGTAATTCAGCAACTTCTAGGCTTGTTGATGAGGAGAGTATTTCTATCCAGGTGATGCTGGAAGAATGCAGCCCACCAGATCTGAATAATGACACTCATGCTGCTGAGAATCTGCAGAGGGTGAATTCATTACCTGGAAACTTCGGAAATATATGTCCTGGTATTATTGGTCAAGGGGATAGTGTAGGGGAATTTCTTGTGGAAGGGAGATCATCATCATCTGTGTGGGAAATGGTTTCCCAGACTCTTCTGCATGCATACATTGATGCTTATAAGCAAAAAGGTGTAATTCAATTCTGCTGTAGTCATGATGTATATAAAATGGATGAAAAAGAGCCGAGTGAAATTGGTTCATTATCCAAGTTCTCTTACTTAGGTGGTCCCTTCAATTTCCCAAGACTAGCGCAGAGCAACTTTGAGTTTAAAATTGCTTGTGAGATGTTGATGAAGTGGTTAGAGCAAGACAGATTTGGACTAGAGGCAGACTTTGTGCAAGAAATTATTGAACAGCTTCCTGGTGTGTGTTCTTGCTCAAATTATAGAATTGTTACTAAAAGAAAGCACAACACAACTCTGCAGACAGTCGGAAGTGGGTTCCTGCAGGCTAAAAGAAAGAATCACATGCAGGATGAGACGGAAGCTGTTGAATCTTTCAGAATTTCTGGAACACGCAAAAAGCATCTGGAAGACTCTGACATCAGAGGTCCCTGTCCTTCAGGAAAGCCATTTAGCGCAAAGATTCCAAATTTTTTGATAGGTGACGCGCTCCAGGTATTTTGAGACTTTCGAGTTTGTTGTCTACAAAGGAATTGGATATTCCATATACTTACTATCTTTTTATTGTTTTTTCAAAATCAAATGTGTTTAGGTTTGGGAATTCTTGTTGAGGTTTTCAGAGGTCTTGGGGCTGGAAGCTCCATTTCATTTGAAGAAATTGAGGAGGAATTAGTTAGTCCATGGATAGACAAAACAAGTTCAATGGAAATGCCTGGATTTGAGATCCAAGATGTCAGAGAGATCACCTTATTAAGAGGTGAAATGGACTCTCTGTCTGGTAGATTGGGTTTTCATCAATATAGCCGATTTACTGGTCTTCTTTTGGCAAAACTTCATGGTCTACTGCTCAAAGCTCTTGTCACCGAGCTGCTCTCAAAAGTTGCTGTCTATGTAGATCCGAATTTCGGTGCAGGAGGATTCAAATCTAAAAGAGGCAGGAAAAAAGATGCTGACAATTTAGCTAGTCTTAAGAAAACTAGACTTGATATGCTTCCCATTAATGAAATTACATGGCCTGAAATTGCTCGGAGGTACATGTTAGCGTTGTTATCCATGGAAGTTAACCTTGAGTCTGCAGAAATTGCTTGCCGAGAGAGTGGGAAGGTTTTCCATTGCTTACAAGGTGATGGTGGGATACTTTGCGGCTCTCTTACGGGAGTTGCTGCATTAGAGGCGGATGCAATGGTAAGATCGATTCATGTGCTGTTTGTTATAGCACATGGTTCCTCTCTTGATTTGATGAGCTAAAGTTTTTGTCAACTGAAATTTAAATAAGAACTTTTTGCTGTTTTTTTCCTTGTTTTCATGTCATCAAAGTAGTTTATCTTCCATCACAATTCTTGATGATGCTATGGCATGTGTTGCCAAAACCTCTAATTGATTTCACATGATACGATTAAGGCCCGTATTTTGGACTTATCAGAATCTCAAGATGTAATTAATTTTTAAGAAATGCAAATGAACTATTTTGTGAGGCAAAATCTAACATAAGTCAGTCTTTAAAAGTGTTTAGGGTGTCGGTTTTCTTACTTGTGAAGGACACCAAGTAATTAACTTTTCAAAAATAAAAAAACATCTTAACTTGGAAAACTTAATGCGAAATACTACTAACCACCAGTTTAGAATTACAAAATATTTCGAGTAATTAAAAAGTTTGGTCAAAGAAAAATCTGTTTGACTCGCTAAACAGTAACCAAGTCCCCCCCCCCCCCCCCCC